ACTCAAAGATTAACATATAATTCAATACAAGAAGTCCCAAATGAAGGAACAACTATAATAAACATGGACGGGAATCAAATTCCCAATATAAGGCTAACAAGATATCAAAATGAGAACTTCAGAATGCTACAATAACGATATTATGCCAGAAACTATAAGGGCTCAAAACAATCACAAAGATTTTCACTGGAAGAGAAACAGACTTACTAGATCGTGCGTGAAAGTTACAATTGGATCTAAATTCTTCTCTCCTCTTTGGCAGTGATATTAATTCTCTGTGAGCTCAACCTGCCGAGAAAGGGAAATACTTAGAAATGATTTCAATTTACAGAGTCACGAAATTCAGTTTTGTTCAATTAAAGATTCAACCCATAACACAATTTAAGATTCAAGATTTAACATAGAAGCACAATTCAAGATCAGACCCAGCTACACATTGAATCTGAAGTCATAAACAATCATTAATTATCATAAGAATGGCTACCCCAATCCAAGATTTCAGACAAGTTGAATTAAAGTTGGAAAAAAAACATCTGGGTTAGGAAACGGCACCCAAAAGAACAAGAAAATTGAGATTATGGATTACTGGAAAAGGGAAAATGGGTGAAGGTAAAAAGCATCAGCTTATCATAAGAATGACATAAAACAAAGAGCAAAGTAAAACTTTATATGTATAACCCCTCAATAGGGAAAGGGCCGTCTTGAACATCCTCGATTTCATCATTTTGGTCTTGAATACCTTCTGATTCTTGTGCTGCTGCTCCATTGCTAATCTTCTTGATGCTACTGGAGAGTAACAGATGATTGAAAGAGATGGAAGAATGGAGGCAAAAGGAAATATTCAAAAGCGCGATGAGCCTCTTTATATATCTCCAACTCTCTTGCCCAATTGACTTTACAGCTTTTTTATCAATATCTACTCTTAAATGTAAAATTCTAAAAAAAACCCATCATTTAAATTTTATATGGATTTTTGAAAGAAAATTGTAGTGAAGGATCAACTATTTATATAAGTTACTACCACGTTATGTTTTGTTAACAGCTACTACCTCCTCTACATTGTTTTTAAATTATTTGGATGAATAAAAGAACAAATGGCCCGTATAAATTAAAGAGATAAGCTTAAGTTCTAGTTCCCTCCGCCTAAAAATTTTTCAAAATGAGAACCTTGTAAATGAAACATGAAATGGTAATAACTGAATGAACATACAATAGACTTGGAGAAAACTACCGTTAGTAATTTAGATTCACCAATTTCCTATACTTCTTTTACAGTAACTCTGATGCTCTCCGAGCTCTCCACTTTCTGTTGATGGCTTTGAGAATTTTTGGCAGTAAGTTCTTGTTCCTTCCTCTCAATGTCGAATTTATTCAACTTTTCTTCAAACTCCTCAATGCATGATTCGAGTTCAGGTTTAGCAAACTTCTTCCCCTAAATGAAGACATTCAAATAGGCAGATAAAGTTCACTTGGTTTCTTCAAGCGCGTTCACGAAGGGTACTTTCCCTGCCAGAAATCTTGACCGCTTTTTGCCACAAGTTCACTTCGTTTCTTCATATATCTCCTAAATCAACTCTCCATTTCATTTTCCTACAAATATGATAAAAACCCACATTAAAAGCACCAATTCTAAACTAAAGCAAGCCAAAATAACTACGAAAAGAGCCTCAAATGAGTGGGAATCCACCACTCATCAACACCCCCGACTTAGAAACTTTGTTTGTTCTCAAGTAAGGAAAATCAAAAACACAAAGGCTCTTATTTGAAAACACACCACAAATCAATTTCCCTTTCTCGATGAAGCACAAAGGTAATGGCTTAGGTTGGTACTAACAAATAGTCCACATGCAAAATCTTCACAAAAGAAATCCTCTCATTCTCATGAAACATTTTCAAAAACCAAGAATCATTCAAGTGACAACAACTCAAACTCAAGAAATGACTCAACTCATTAACACTTTCACATGCTCACTTGACTCAATTAGGAATTTTAAAAATCACCACTTTTTCAACTTACATGCCCTCACAAGAAAGAAGTGTCCCAAAACCACACACATATAAACAAGACAAGAGACAAAGATGCAAAACTCACACTCACGAAGAATCATCTCATGCACACAAATGTCACACCATAGGCTTGCCCATATTTTCAATCAACATTGACCCAACTTTATTTGCTTAGAAATCTCAAAGGACTTTGTTAAGCTTGTAATGTAGGCTTAGAGAAGGTTAGGATATCATTTAGGTATAAGTGACTACACCCTCCTTGAACACTACACAACAACTCATCATTTCCAACTTTCTCCACTTTTCAAACCCATGCACATTCCACACTACTTTTCATTTTTCTTTTCTTACTTCCACTCTAGATGCCCCACATGCAACCATTTTCAACTTTTGGAGAATTCAAGCCTCATTTATTCATTTTATTTCTTTCCTTTTCAAAGTTTTTTCTTTCTTTAAGACTTTTCATCCATCCTTCCATTTCTCTCTTCTTCTTTTTTTTCTTTTTTTTTTCTTTTATATTCAATGAATTTCCCATAACACCCCAACTTAGGCTTTTAGTCTCAACTTTCAGAACCTCAAGTTCAAGGAGGGAAGGGTTCAAAAGAGGGTTACTTTTTCAAAAAGAATAAGGCTTGTAATGTGGTTGCCAAAAAAAGGATCGGGTTCAAAGGGGACAACTAAGGATATATTTAGGAGAAAGGTGGGATTTTTAGGCCAAGTGGACTTCAAGAACATCAAAGAAAGCCTAAGATCATTTCTCCAACCAAGCTCAATCAAGACCAACCGGGCAAGTTCTAGGTGACCAAAGCAAACACAAGGCATTATTCAACAACTCACCACACATGGCCTGCAAATCAATCAAGATGGTTCAAACTCTTACTTCCTTTTCAAAATACAAGTAGCATTTAACATTTTAACCGTTAACGAATCAAAATTCACAAAAAGAGTTGCAAGAGTTGTCAAAAAATCATTCATGACATGCTCAACCTTTTAAAAATGGAGAGGTATGCTCAACACTATTCACATGCATGACTATGCTCTTAGTACCAACCAAGTCAAAACCTTCCCAAAAAGACGACGATTTTGCCCCGAAGAAAGTTGTCAACCAATCCATCATCAGGCAACCTCATGCATCTATTCAGGAACAACTACTCAGACTTCGCCACAATTAATGCCAATCAAACACTCACAAGCAATCGGCGATTTACCCTTAAGAAAGTCATCACTCTCTATCCATCATCGGGCATCGTCAATCCAAATCTTATTATCAAAACAAAAACCAAGAAGCTACAAACTACAAATCAAAAACTAAAATAGACCAATCCAACACAATATCAACAGAAACATCCACAATATCAAATCCCGAGAAGGGCACACCAATCCATAACAAAGAAAGAAAAGTATGCTCGATAAGGGCACAATCACTGTATGCAGAAACAATCAACAAAACGACCACAAGGGAGGCACCCCCAACTGAAAATGAGATTGTGTTCTCACAGTCAAAATATCAAAAGAGAATATGAGGGACTCCCTGAACTGCATCACTATGAGCTCGAGCCGGTAGGAAATGTGAGGTCCTTCTCATCCGAAGCACTGCTACCACATAAGCTCCTAAGCTTTACCTTTATAGATGTTACAGAGGAGAAAACCATCAGAAAACGGGATGAAAAGAAGTCACACTCTGATCAAAGATCCAGCACAAAACAAATAGCACATTAGGTGTGTAATCACATTATTGAGAAAGTTGGATGTGTAGAGGATACAAATGAGTGGGACAAGCTATGATGGATGGCACACGGCTTAGGAAAATTCAATGTTAATAGTTCTTGGGAGATTTTGAGAAATGCAAGTAACAGGAAGAATTCAAGTTCATTTGGGAAAAAGGAATTCCTTTTAAAGTCTCTTTTTTCATATGGAGGTTATGGAAAAAGAAGCTACCAATTGGGGAATTTCTAATACGAATAGCCCTGGTAGATGATGTAAGGTGGTGTTATTGTGAAAAATTAGCCAAACAATCCTACGAGCATCATTTTATTACTTGTCCAGTAGCTACCACTTTGTGAAAAATATTTGCAGCAGCAGCAGGTTTGCGAGGCCCTTTCCCACATCCGAAAGACACCATGTTTAAATGGTGGAATGCTACATGTTTTGTCAAACTCAGACCACTTTTTAATGCTGTCCTTACTTTTATAATGTGGGAAATTTGGAAAAGGAGGAATATGATAAGGCATGGTGGTAAGATGTCTGTGCAAGGTATGATGATGGAGATAAATAGGAACCTTCACTACTTGGCAATTACAAGGTATCCTTGGTTGTGGAACATCCCTGATAGTTTGCCTCTGATAGTGAAATTCTTTGAAGCCTATACCCCATTAATTGAATGTAAAGTGGTGAAGTGGAAACTACCTAACGAAGGTGTCTATAAGTGCAATTCAGATGGAGCTTCAAAAGGAAATCCGGGACCTAGTGCAAGTGCTTTCTGCATTAGAAATGATGCAGGAGAGTTTAAATTTGCTGAAGCTAAAAGCTTGGAAAGTGCTACCAGTTTAGAGGCAGAAGTAGTGGCGTTGAGAAGTGGACTGGAATTTTTGTATTTAAAACAATTTGCTGCCCGTTATCCTTGAAACCGATTCTTTCGCAGTCAAACAGACACTAGTTGGAATATGGGAAGTCCCATGTAACATGGCTTGTGAAATCAAGATGATAAACAGATTAAGGGCTCATAAAGATGTGGAAATCGAGCATACACTAAGGGAGGGCATCATGCTAGCGGATTGAATCGAGCATACACTAAGGGAGGGCATCATGCTAGCGGATTTTTTTTGCTAATCAAGTTTTCTGTTTTGTAGGTAGTCAAAGATTAACATATAATTCAATACAAGAAGTCCAAAATGAAGGAAAAGCTCTAATAAACATGGATCGGAATGAAATTCCCAATATACGGCTAACAGGATGTCAAAATGAGAACTTCAGAATGCTATAATAACGATATTATGCTAGAAACTGTAAGGCCCCCCAACAATCACAGAGATTTTCACTGGAAGAGAAACAGACTTACTAGATCGTGTGTGAAAGTTGCAATTGGATCTGAATTTTTCTCTCCTCTTTGGCAGTGGTATTAGTTCTCTGTGAGCTCAACCTGCCGAGAAAGGGAATTACTCTGAAATGATTTCAATGTACAGCGTCACGAAATTCAGTTTTGTACAATTAAAGATTCAACCAAGAACACAATTTAAGATTCAAGATTTAAGACAGAAGCACAATTCAAGATCAGACCCAGCTACACATTGAATCTGAAGTCATAAGCAATCATTAACTATGGCGATTCCAGACGAGTTGAATTAAGGTTGGAAAAAAAAACATATGGGTTAGGAACGACACCCAAAAGAACAAGAAAATCGAGATTTTGGATTAGAGGAAAAGGGAAAATGGGTGAAGGTAAAAAGCATCAGGTTATCATAAGAATGAAATAAAACAACGAGCAAAGCAAAACTTTATATGTATAACCCCTCAATTTACCTCCATTGCAAATCTTCTTGAAAAGGAAAACGACACCCAAAACCTCCATTGCAAATCTTCTTGAAAAGGAAAACGACACCCAAAACCTCCATTGCAAATCTTCTTGAAAAGGAAAACGACACCCAAAACCTCCATTGCAAATCTTCTTGAAAAGGAAAACGACACCCAAAACCTCCATTGCAAATCTTCTTGAAAAGGAAAACGACACCCAAAACCTCCATTGCAAATCTTCTTGAAAAGGAAAACGACACCCAAAACCTCCATTGCAAATCTTCTTGAAAAGGAAAACGACACCCAAAACCTCCATTGCAAATCTTCTTGAAAAGGAAAACGACACCCAAAACCTCCATTGCAAATCTTCTTGAAAAGGAAAACGACACCCAAAACCTCCATTGCAAATCTTCTTGAAAAGGAAAACGACACCCAAAACCTCCATTGCTTATCTTCTTGATGCTACTGAGAGTAACAGATGATCCAAAGAGATGGAAGAATGGAGGCAAAAGGAAATATTTCAAACGCAAGCGTGATGAGCCGTTACACTTCTGCTCCTCTTCGCTTAATTGACAAAACAAATAAAAACTAAATCCTGCTAAATGGAACTAATAAATAAATAATATACTCAATATTTGTTTATTTTTTTCTACATATATTTTAACACATGCACCAAAATAAATAAATAGTAATAATATAGTGATGATTAGGGTTGGACATTCGGTCGGGTCGGTTTATGATATTCGATTCAGTTTTTTGGTTTTCGATTTGGCTCGATTTTCGCAATTTAAACTCGGTTTTTTTTTTTTCGATTTATGAGATTACATTAGATATGTTGTTATGAACAAATAAACCTCCTTGTAAAATTTCAAATAAGGTGTGATTTGATCTCTGATAGAACATACACAATAATTAGATGATTTTTAAAATTTTAGGACCTCATTACTTGTTATATATCTTTAGATTTAGATGTTATACGCTCACGTTCAGTTAAAACATTTCCAAATAAGCATACAAGGTCTCTGTCTCTGAATGTGAGAGACGAGAGTGGTCGACAAGTGGTGTGTACGAGTCATGACGACAGCGACAGTGATGGCGACGACCTATGGTGTGCATAAGTCATGATAACGACGATGGATAACGAAGATGAGGGGATTGTGGAGAGGTTAATGGTTAGGACTTAGGGATTTCAATTTTAATTTTGGATTAATTTTAATGGGTTGTGGGCAGTAGCCATTTGGGGAGTGGGATGTAGGCGTCCAGGGATCAAGGCATGAGTTCATGTAAGTAAATTACATTTCGATTTTATGGTTTTACCAAATTAAATTATTAAAAACTCAAAAACCGAAAAAACTAAAATTTCAATATTTTAAATCGAAACCGACCAATCAAATTGAAATCGAAATTTAAAAAAATTCAGTTCGATCAATTTTTTCGATTTGAACCGAAATATGTCAAGCCATAGTGATGATGTACAATAACTTATTGTACATGTATTAGTGATGAAAACTTGAATAGATACACAATTATACTAGATGTCGCTCAAAGTGCGTCATCTTGGTTTTTTGTCTCTCGTAGAAAAAGTCTTTAAGACTAGTATTTTTTCTTCAGTATCTCTTTTGAACTTGACAGCAAAACTTACTTTAGCATTTTAACTAAACAGGCATTTAAATACCCCTTAACAACTTTCAAGTTAATTAAATTACACCCTAAGGGGTGACGTGACAGAGTGAGTTGACTCACTCTCCTAAATGCGCGTGAAGATATTTAAAAAAATTAAATTTATAAAATCATATGCATGTCATTTTCTATCGGTCAATATATAATTAGTATTTTAAATATTATTTTATTGATATATTAACTTTTTAAAAAATATGTGAATTTTTTTTATGGTTCTTTATTTTGTTGTCTTCCCCAATATAGCTTCTTCTCCATTGAAGCATCACCGCTTCCTTCATCTTCATCTTCATCTTCAACTTTGTTCACTACTTTCATTTTACCAATCCTTTAGTAATCCATAAAATCCAACACCAATATCTTTTATTGACGTCAATTTCACAAATATAACAATTTACATAAATTTTGAGTGACCTGTTTTTATTTTTATTTTTTAATTTCCACAAGACAAATTCGAGGTGGGGGAGAGGGGAAGGATTCAAAGAAGAAAGAATGGTATTGTAGTAGTTCTTCTCTAAAGTTATTTAAATTTTTTTTTGAATTTTTTGAGTGATCCGTTTTATTTTTTTTAATTCTCACAAGGCAGATCCAAAGAGGGGAAAGGGAGGGAAGGAGAGAGGAGGAATTCGAAGAAGATAATGTTGTATTGTAATGGTTCATCTCTAAAGCTATTTTTTTTAAAAATAAATTGTGAAGAGGCAGAAAAAAGAGCAGTGAAGGGATAGAAATGATGAAGAAGAAATAAGTGAGGGGGAGGGGAAATAAAAATGGGTCTTTGATTTTAGAAAATGTATTTTTAATTATTTAATTAGTGTAACTTAATTTTAAAAAGTGTTAAAGAAAAACATGGTGAATAAACAAAAAGAAATAAATAAAAGTAATGATGTGGTGGTGACATGGCCATGTTGGCGCTTACATGGCTATGATGTGGCAGGTGAGAGTGGTATTATATTCATTTCAAAGTTGTTAAGGGGTATCTAAATGCATGTGTAGTTAAAGTTCTATGGTAAATTTTGTTGCCAAGTTCAAAGGTGATTTGATGTATTTTTTTTCTTTACGTATAGAACAAATATAATTTTGTCCCTCTATACCTCAAATGTTTTTAAACAACCTCCATGTTCAATTGTCTTTCACCATTTTTTCTTCTTTTTTCATTTTTTCATTTTTTTTTCTTTTATTTATAATTTTTTTTTTCTTAACTCTTATTATTTTTTGCTAATGAATTGAAAGTTGAGTAGAAGATCTTCTTTGTGTAATGTAATGATCCTTCTAGTCATTTTGTAAATTTTACTTGCTTTCTATAGCTTACCCCTGCTTTCAACCTTTTTCGTGGATAATTTATAACTTGTGGGAATGAGTGACGTGATTTTTGAAATAATTTTTTTTTAATAAATAGAAGGGAAAAAGAGAATAAATTAAGAGTTCTTTTGTTTTTAATAAATAGAAGGGAAAAAGAGAAAGAGTTCTATATGTTTGTCGTTCTATTTGTCTGCCTGCCTGCCTATCTATCCATCCATCCATCTATCCATCCATCCATCCATCCATCCATTTATTTATATTATATTATATTATATTAAAAGCGGACACATTTTTATATTTAAGGGTTGTGAAATTTCCAAAGAGATAACTTTTTCGATGAGTTGTGACATTTTCAAAGTGTTGTGACTTTTCTACAAAGTTGTGACTTTTTTGAAGGGTTGTGACTTTCCAAAGAGTTGTGAATTTTCGATGAGTTGTGACATTTATTAAGGGTTGTGACTTTTTTTTTTTGATAAGGCACAATAAGCATTTTTCATACACTACCCTTTGTTGGCTATAAAATGAGGGGTTTCCTCAAATTTTTGAACTACAATTTCTTAATGCTTTTCATTGTTCTTCTTCTTCTTAAAACACTTAGTGTAGTATATTTTTTATATCTTATATTATATTTATTTGTTTATATTATATTAAAAGAAGACACCATTTTACGTTGAGTGGTTACGACTTTTCCAAAGACTTGTGACTTTTTCAATGAGTTATGACCTTTTCGAAAGGTTGTAACTTTTATGATAAGAAACAATATGTGCATGCTCCTAATACCTTTTGTTAACTATAAATAGAGGAGTTTCCTCACATTTTTAAATTATAATTTTTTTATGCTTATATTCTTCTCTTCTTAATAAAAACTCAAGTTTGATTTACAGACGTTGACAACTTCAAAGTTCACTGAAACTTGATCACTTCCTAACATGAATGTTAAATTAATATAACACTATGACTAAAAACATCCAATTTAGTATATATTCTATATTTTATATCAATATTTATTTATATTATATTACATTGAAAGTAAGAACTCCAACGAAACAATAATAACTAAGTAATGCACTTTGGAGAAGGGAGGATAAAGTATATTATTTAAGAGGTGTAACACATAGATATTAAGAGTTGCTAGCTAGCTTTCAGTAGTAATCATAAGAAAGTTTACATTCACTATTCATAGGAACTTATACTTTATCATTCATTTTATCTTAATTTTTTTATTTAATAATATTCACATTATTTTTCAAAATTGCGTACATGGTTTGATATTCACGTGCAGTGCACTCGAGTCAAAACTAGTATATACATATATATATATATATATATATAAAGTGCGAGGCTTAGCAATGCAAGAAATTTCTAACAACGTGATGGAACAAATTTCTAACTCCTCCATACATGTGACAAAAAAAACATCAACAAAAATAATTGTTGAAGGAAGAAGTGGAACTCTGTATAAAGTTAAGATCAATGGGGGTGAGTAGAAATAAATGCTTAGTTGTTGACCAAGAAAGAAAGAAATGAGAGTCTTTGGGCATTGCTTAAGCTAAGTCAGACTTGAAAGTTGGGACGAGTGTTATATAACTAGTGATTTACAAGTGTAAAGACCCGTGGGTTCGTTTTGGGAACTAAAGCTTCTTATTCAGTAAAAGACTCTTTCGGTAGGTTCTAAATGGATATAATGGAACTAATTGTTTATTGGAGTAATTTAATTGATGAGTAATATTAAATAAATTTTTTTGTTAATAGTTAATGGGTCAAGTCTAATATTTATTTAATACCTTATACCACTTGACCCATGTAATAACCCGTT